AGGGTCAAATATAAGTGACCATGGCCCAGGAGCACAGGTTTGAGTCATGCAGTTACCATATCCAAGGTGCTAAGAGTTCAATGAGGTTTTTGTAAGAACAGAAGAAAAGAAAGTCATAAATCAAGACACTTACACTATGTTGGTAGGTACACCAGGTAGGCAGTTACAAGAAAGTGGAGCCATCTCTGTTAGAGGCACCAGATGCTGTCTGGTGACCTTCTTAGCTTTTGGGTTAGTGGAAGCTAGCACTCTTAGTACATACCCAGTTGCCATAGGATGTTATAGATCAAATGCAGTTTGGTAATTCAGACAATGCTCTTCATGACTGTGAAGAAGTTCAAGTGTGCTTTGTTCCTCTTTCTTCGTCCAAATGGAGAATAAGCAGAACAGAGGTGTCTGTGTGAACAGGAACCTCATATGGCCCGTATGCAAATTCTCACTGAAGAGACCTGCCTTCTAAGCTCCCTCCTCTGTCACCAGATGCTTGACCTGGGGTAAGTTGTTACCCTCAAACATCTCTTGTTGGTCTTCCTGATATCCATGGCTCTACTCTTCCTTCACTAGAACTGCAGAACTTATTTGAACATTCATCTTCATTCTAACCCATGCAGTTTTTCTTTAACTAATTGTGTGTGTGTGTGTGTGTGAGAGAGAGAGAGAATGTGTGTGTGTGTGTGTATGTGGTGTGTGTGTGTGAGAGAGAGAGAGAGAGACAGAGAGAGAAAGAGACAGAGACAGAGAGAGACAGAGAAGGAAAAAGAGGAAGGGAGAGAGAGAGAGAGCGGGTTCATGTATATCATGTATGTACAGCAGTCCTCAGAGACCAGAAAACAGTGTAGGATCCCTTGGAAGTAGAATGGCAGGCATTTGTGAACCGCCATGTGTGTGCTGGGAATTGAACTGAACCAAAGTCTTCTGTAAAAACAGCAAGTACTCTTAACTATGGAGCCATCTCTCCAGCCCTCCCTCATATAGTTTTTTTTAGATTTATTTTTATTTTTATGCATGTGAGTGTTTAACTAGATGTGTATATGTGCACCATGTATGTGGCTGGAGCCCTTGAAGTTACAGACAGTTGCAAGCTGCCACGTGGGTGCCAGGAACTGAACCCATGACCCACATGATTTTGCTGTTATTCACCTCATCTCAAATTTCAGGAATTGGGTCTGACTGTCCTAAAGCCATTTAAAAACTTTTAGGATTTATTTTATTTTATATGTATGAGTGTTTTGCCTGTATGTATTTGTGTGTACCATGTGTGTGCCTGCAGAGGTCAGAAGAGGGCATCAATTTCCCTGGAACTAGAGTTACAGTTGGTTGTGAACCACTATGTGGGTGCTGGGAATCAAACCTAGGTCTTCTGCAAGAGCAATAAGTGCTCTTAACCCCAGAGCCATCTTCCCAGTCTCAATCTTAAAAAGCAATTTTTTTAATTTTATAGTTTTAGGACTTTGTTATGCTATTTTCATATATATATATATATATATATATATATATATATGTCATTGTACTTTGGATATTTGCCTCCCATTATCCTGCCTTGTCTCCCTTCTTCTCTCTTGCTCTGCATTCTACCCTTGAATGGTCCCTTTTATTACTTCAGGTCAGATAGATAGATAGACAGACAGATAGATAGATAGACAGACAGAAGAGATAAATAAAAAAGATAGATAATAAACAGACATTATAGACTTGGTAGAAAGTAGATGTAGATAGATAATAGATGATAGACACATCGATAATAATCAGAGATAGATGATAGATTAGATAGATAAACATGATAGATACATAGATATATAGATAGATATATGACAGAGAGATAGATGATAGATAGACAGACAGACAGATAGGTAGATAGATGACAGATAGATAGATAGATAGATGACAGATAGATAGATGATAGATAGATAGATGATAGATAGATAGATAGATAGATAGATAGATAGATAGATAGATAGATAGACAGACAGATAGATAGATAGACAGATAAATAGATAGATGATAGATTTGAATCTAGAGTCCACACAGAGGCAGCATGCAATGTTGCAGTGTTTGTCTCCCCATCGTCTTCCCTTATTGCCCCCTGATTCCTTCTAGACACTTTCTTCCCTCCACAAAGTCTCCTTTCTACCTTCATATTGCATATACAGAAAGTATGAACATATTAACTAACGAGAGAAGTGTTATATTTGGCTTTATGAATCTGACTTAGTTCACTTAACGTCATGATCTCCAGGTCCATCCCCTTTCCTGCAAATATCATAATTGTATCATTCTTTATGCTAGGTTAAACTCCATAGTGTATACACACTACTTTTTCTTTATCCGCTCATCCTTGCTGGGCACCAAGTCTAGTTCTGTATCTTGTTAAAGTCATTTTATTCCTTTTCCTTGCCATGTGAGTTAGTAGAATGTCCAACAGGAAACTGGGTCAAGGCTTTGGAGCTTTTACTTGGATTCTGACCCCTTCCACTCAAACTGTTTGGCCCAAGCCATGAGATCTGACCTCTGAACCCTGCACTTAACCTGGCCATCATCCTTTCACATCTGCATCCAGCACTGGCCACCTTCAGCGACTAGAAGTAATAATGTACTAGCCAGTAACTCCAGAGCACAGGTTAGTTTATCAATATCAACAGGACACAAAGGAAAGAGACTGTGGACGGTTATTTAGTGGCCAATAGTCATTAATTAAAGGAATTAAGTTCCACGGAAGCCTGAGGTTGGTATAAATTGTCTGACAAATCACACTAGTTTCTCACTCCTGCCCCCCTGGATTCCAGCCCTGCTAAAATAATGCATGTGGACATGCACTCATCATTGGTGCCCATGTCTGAAGCATGGGGGTGGTGGGGGTCCTGAGAGGTGTTGTGCAGTGACACCTGGATCATGTTCTGGGGCACAGCGAACCTCAGGAAGAGGTAAGGTGGAATGACTGCTGGTTGCTTTCCTTGAAATAGAGAAACGGGAGCACAGAGCTGTTTCCTGTCCTCTGTTCTGGCCTCATATGATTCCCTGAAATGGCAGGTCCTCAGCCCAGTTTTGAGTCATTGGATGCCAAAGACAGCCTTCGTGCTCTGCGACAAGTGGGACACTCAGTGCCCCTTTGCTAGAGTTGTTCGGGAGTTCAGGATGGGGAAAATCTGGTCCCATAGGGAACAATTTGCCCCCATATGACCCAAATGAAGAAACTTCAATGACAGACCACTTACAGGGGCCTGGGCAGGAGAGACAAGGCCCTGAGTAACCAGCAACAATGTAGATCCGTCCCCCTCCCAGAGGAAGAAGAGATGAGGAAGACTCAGCCTCAGCCTGTGGTTGGCTGATATGAATGGAAAGTTTACCCTCACAAAAGCCCAAATGATTGAGCCGATGGGGTCAGCTGCCCAGAAAAAGCATGAGCAGAGGAGAAAAAGATCAATACAGGAGCTGAACCTGCGTGGTCAGTCCAGCCCACTCTATACGCCTTCGGCTTCCAGCTTTGTTTTTGTTTAAGGTGAAAACCTTACCCCATGCTCAGGCAGATGCAAGCATCCCAAACACAATGCCATTTCAGGTGGCCGAGCTGGAACCTAAATGTCAAAGTTGGCTACCATCAGTATTCTCCCTATAAAGCAGACATAAAGGAGTGTGTAGATAGGGAAATATGGTAGCAATGGTTTCCAGTCACTTGCCATGAGTCCAGAGCTGATAATCAGGGCTTTCCTCCTTTACCATTTTCTCTAAACTTACCTTTTTCTCTACCAAGCACCTCAGCCAGACCGTTGTCCCTAAACATCTGGGTGCTGGTTGAAGACATTGCAGAGATCCCTGCAAGGGCTGTCCCTAGACACTGAGTTGCTGATATCCAGTAGGGCCAGGGAGGTGGTGTCAGAACCCAAGGAGTTGCTGAAGCCCCCCACCTAAGACCTTCCATGCCTGAATGTCAGAGGAGAGCTGCCCTGGAGGAGATTGGCTGTAGCTGTGGAACTGACGCAGTCTCCCTCTGGTGAGCTCAGCCTTGCCTGGTACAGGACCACTTCATAGCCCACCAGCTGAGCCTCCCAGGCGACCCCTCAGAAACCTTCTGCTGAAGATAAAGAGACTGACTCTGTCAGCTTTGAAGCCTGGGTAACAGTGACAGGCAGATCTGCCTGCTGGCCCGACTCACTCCAGGGAACTGTCCAATGAGAAGCAAGCACCTGGCAGAGTTTCTTAATTATTTGCTTGTTTTATGTGTATGAATGTTTTGCCTGTGTACATGTATGTTCACCACGTGAATGTCTGGTGCCCACAGAGGTCAGAAGAGTTTATTGGATCCCTTGGAGTTGGTGGTATGGAAGACAGAAGCCACCATATAAGTGCTGGAATCAAACCTGGGTCCTCCCCAAGAACAACAAGTAGTCTTAACTGCTAGGCCATCTCTCCAGGCCACACCTACAGCTTCTTTAAGCTATTGTACTCCGGGGTCTCTGCAATGTCCTGTCACCCTGGCTAATATTACTGTTTTGGCTGCTGGCACAGCCCCCAACCTGTGTTCTTTCTAGTTAAGCTGTGGGGAGACCGCAGGGAAAGGAAGGCCCTGTGGTGCACCTGCTGCTCACTGCCTGAGCCTCAGAAGACCAGGTACTTCCTCAGTGTGCTCCCCCCATGCTGGAGGACAGAATGGAGAAGGCAGGACATGCAGAGGCCAGTGGTACAGCCTGAATGTGTTCTGATGTTGTTCCCATCCATCCTGACCTACCACCATTCTGGTAAAACTCACTTGGAATTTCCCACAAGCCACCTCCTGCTCTGTGGTCAATCAGACAATGACCCCCAGTTCCTCGTCTGTCCAGGGATTCTTTTGGAAGGGAGGGTGCTTACACATGTGTGTTGGGCTGGAAGCCAGAGGACAGACAACCCTGGATGCCATCCCTCAGGTGCCATCTGCCTTTTATCTCACTGGCTAACAAGCCCTGAGGGATCAGCCCCTCTCTCCCTCCTTGTGGCCAGGAGTGCACACGACAATGTTTCTTGAGTTCTGGGGATCTAACTCAGTTCCTCGTGTTTGCAAGGCAAGCACTTTATTGACTGAGCCATCCCCCCTCCCTGTCTGGGGATTTCCTTAGTCTCCTGATGGCTTCACCACCTCCCCTCCCATCTGTGAGCCTCAGGGAAGGGCCTAGGAACCAGACTAACTCCCTGACCTTTGCTGTGTGAGGTGCCAAATGGAGAAGAGATGGGTGAGGGAAGGGACACAAGAGTAAGGCAGCTTCGTGTCCAGTTGCATTTGTGTGACATTTCTAGAATAGGCCGATCTGTAGAGACAGAGTGCAGAAGACTTGCTTCCAGGAGCACCAGAGGCAGGAGAGTGCTTCAGGGCACAGGTTTTGTTTTGGGGGTAACGGAAGTATTCTGGAATGGCACAGTGGCAATGGTCACAAGACACTGTGAGTCTACTAAATGGCACTGAATAACATACTCTAAAATGGCCAAAATGGTGACTTTTATGTAATGTGGCCTTTATCACAAGAAAGCAATAGTAAGCATATAGAACACACTCAGGGTCTTCAGGGATGATCCTGCTAGTGACAGAGGTGAACAGAAGGGGGAAATCTTTTGACCCTGTGGTCTCGTTTGGTCTATCTTCTCTCCTCTCTCGGGGAATGAAGAAGGCAGACAGAGCACAGGTGCAGACTCCAGGAAGGTGTGAAGGCTGGGCAGTTGGTCATAGGCCAATTCAGAACTTTCCTGCTGGCCATAAACCTTTCTCACTTTTTTTTTAATTACCCAGCATTCAAACACTGTCCTATCTAGAGAGGACACAAAGGGACAAATTCTCCTCTGTAGTTCTTGGTTGTTCTTGGGTACCTTGTCTCCACATCCTACCATCACCTCCACTCCCCTCATCCTGGCTCTTAGGTGTCTGACCCAGCTCAGCTCCTGGATATTGTGCTGAGGCTCTGGACCAATAAGAGTGAAGCAAAGATGCAGGGGATAGAGAGCGCTCAGAGCAGCCAAGCCACCAAGGGTCAGAGCCCAGTGGCAGCAGCTTTGCCCGCAGTATCCTCAGGACTGTCTGACCTTGGCTGGGATTTTCCAAGCCTGGTTCACCCGCTCTCCTCGCTTTTCAGGTGCCTGGTAACCTTCTTCTGAATTCTTGATGGCGCAGATCCACCCAAGCTCTTTCTGTTGGTTGTAGGGAGGAGCCTGCTGCATGGACGCAGCCTCCCCACCTTCCTTAAAAGAAGAAAACAAGGTGTATAGCAATGAAATGCCTGTGGCTCCTCACAGGACCAACATGCTGTCTATCTCAATGCCTGTGCATGTGGATATAACTCTGTACATTACAGATGTGGATATAAAATATATCACCAGGCACTCTGTTACAGTAACTATGGTGATGAGCAGGCAGAATGCTACCCTAGCAATTAGAGGCCATGGATAACTGGACAACCTTGAGCAAGTCAGTTCCTTCTCTATTCAGACCAAGATGAATTGTAAGCCCTTTCCCAGTGCTCAAGATTCTGTAATTCAAGAAATGAAAAATCACACTAATATGTATTAGCAACATGCCTAGGGAAACACGCCATCCTTTCTCAAAGAGACTCTTTCTGACTCAGAATCCTACAACTAAGACAGCTTCAGTTCTCAACCTTCAGCTATTAAACAGTGCACAGCCTTGTAATAAGCAGGAACAGTTACCACCTGCCACCTCTCCCCGGAGGCCTATCATCTTTGATAGGCTAATAAGAGGTTGCATTAGTTGGTGCTTACTGTATGCAACTGCTCTAGGAATTTTGCATATAGTGCCTCACTGATCCTTATACCAACCTCATGAAGTAAAGGGTGTTATCTCATTTCTCAAATGAAGAAGCCAAGGCACAGAAAAGTGACTTCCCAAATGTTACATAGCTGGTATTTAAACTCATACTACCTGGCTCCAGAATCCAACCATTCCGTGTGTGTGTGTGTGTGTGTGTGTGTGTGTGTGTGTGTGTGTGTGTGTGTATGTATGTATGTTTATGTAGGTGCATGTGTACGTGTGTGTGTGTGTGTGTGTGTGTGTGTGTGTGTGTGTGTGTATGTATGTTTATGTAGGTGCATGTGTATGTGTGTGTGTGTGTGTGTGTGTGTGTGTGTGTGTGTGTGTGTGTGTGTTTTCCATACTATTTAGGTTTGTATACTCACAGTATCTATGCTTCTAATGATTCCATATCCTACCCTACTTAAGCTGGAAAATAGTAATCTCAGTATACTGTTGGCTTTACAGATGAGGAGGAGGTGAAAGGCAGTCTTTTAGTCCAGCACATTCTATGATCATGAGGGCAATTCCCGTGTAGAGACTGTGGAATCCTGGTGAGAGCAGGAGTGGGAAAGCTTCTAGAAGAGAAGCTCTGTTTGCCTCCACAGAGGCACATGGAATCTGATTCAACCTGGGAAGGCGAGTGTCTTAGTTGGGGTTTCTATTGCTGTGAAGAGACACCATGATCAGGGCAACTCTTATGAAGGAAAACATTTAATTGGGGCTGGCTTACATTCAGAGGTTTAGTCCATTGTCATCATGGCAGGAAGCATGGCAACACTCAGCCAGGCATGGTGCTGGAGAGGTAGCTAAGAGTTCTATATCCAGATCTGAGGGCAGCAGGAAGAGAACAAGAGACATTGGGCCTGGCTTGAGCATTTTAAACCTCAAAGCCCACCCCCAGTGACACACTTCCTCCAACAAGGCCATACTTACCCCAACAATGACACACCTTATAGTTCCACTCCCTACTGACCAAGCATTCAAATATATGAGCCTATGGGGGCCAATTTTATTCTAATCACCACAGTGAGCATGCATCCTATTTCATACTTGTGGGGGAAGTGCCAGGGAACCCCAACACTTGTTCCAGGGGCTGGTCTCACCATCTAATGACATCCTGTCTCCAACAAGTCCTGACCTAGGTCATCTGCCAGCCCTTACCCTGATTCTGAGCTGGAGAAGCAGAGGTTGGGGAAAGTTCATCACCATTTCCTCTGGAGCAATCCTGCATGGCCTGGCTGTGGGGCCCTGGGAGACAAACCATCACTGTGACTTCTGAGCAGTCCTGGGACTTCACTTGCTAAGCAACTATTAAGGGCAGCTGTTTTCAGCTGAGCTGTGGGAGCAGGAAGGATTGGAGGGTGAATGGGCTGTGGGCACTGGGCAAGGGTTTCCAGCTGGTAAGGGGGATGTCACCTCAGGAGCGTCTAAAAATATAAAGTTCCCAAGCTAAGTATGGTGCATACCTGTGATCCCAGAATTCCAGAGGAGGCTGGAGCAGGAGGATTGTAAGTTTGAGGCCAGCCTGGGATAAATAGCTAGACCCTGCTTCAAAAACAAAAACAAAAATCCCTCTGGCTGGATCTTAGTGCCCATGTAAGCTGTGGGGCTGGAGAAGTGATTGGATTGATTGATAGCCAAATAGACCTCACCGTCCTTATCCTTCTCCAAGTCACCCCTGCCCAACTTCCCATCCTAGGTACATGTATTCATTCAGAACCATTATAATTGGTCATCTCTGTAGCTACTTGGGACTCTAGAGTTCCGTGATTCATTGATTATTGTATCTCTCAATTCAATATTTTTTTAATTTTTAAACATATTTTGTATGTATAGATGTGCTGCCTACATGTATGTCTGTGCACTGTGTGCATGCCTGGTGCCCGGGAGGCCTGAAGAGGGTGTTATATTCCCTGTGGCTGGAGTTACTGACAGTTTTGAGCTGCCATGTAGGTGCAGGGAACTGAACCCAAGTCCTCTGGAAGAACAGCCAGCACTCTTAACCACTGAGCCATCCCTCCAGTTCCTCAACATTTTTTAAGCTTTTTATTTATAACATGTGCATATGTGTCCATCTACAGGCACATACATGCCACGGTGCATCTGAGGAGGTCAGAGAACAGTCTCCATGTCCATCCTCACCTTCTACCCTGTTTGAAGCAGGGTCTTGTGGCGTTCACACTGCTTAAGTCAGCCCTGGATGATCTGAGCAATCAAAGTCCTCTTGTCTCAGACTCCCACCTCACTGTAGGACTACTAAAATGTCCACTTTATGTGCGTTCTGAGGATCCAAACTCAGGTCCTCATGCTTACACTTTACCCACAGAGCCATTTCCCCAGGCCCTCAATCCAACATGCCCTAAGTGTGCCTGGTCTGTGCCGCCGAGCACTGATGGTAGAAGAGACTACATAGGGTGGACTCAGTCCTGACCCCAGATGCTCAGGGTGATCAAGGCGGACAGAGGAGTGTTCCAATAACCTGAGGACTGGCATGCAGGGGAGCCTCTTAGGAATGGAATATCCTCCAGGGACACTTCAGCTTTCCTCTTCAGAATAAATGATTCATTCTCTCTCTCCATCGGGCTCCTGTTTCCTGGTGATCATGCATCACCATGTAACAGAACTCAAACATAGTCTAAGCCTCTCCCATCTACCTGCCTTCTCATTTCAGATGCAAAGCGCGTCCTCCTCAGGCCCCCAGCAGCCCAGGTCCTGCCTGCTCACAGCTCTCTGACGAGGCCCATCTTAATGAGGAACTTGGTGCAGGCACCAGATCTAGAACATTAATATTCATGCTGAGTCTGTGTAAGAACCTTTATTTCCATCTTTTGTTGGGACGAGGGTGTCTTCAAATGGCCAGAAATTCCCAATTCCGGTTTATTCCAGCCAGGCCTCTATTTCAGAGTATTTTCTTTTTGGCCCCATTACTTCATCAGGGTTGGCAAGGAAACTTCGTTCTGTTCCTGTCCAAGTGTTAAATGGGTGCCCATACGTCTCTTTGCCACGTTGGTATCATTAATTTCATTGCAAATAGGATTTTTTCTTTTTCTCCTCTCTGCATGCAAATGTGGTCCCCTTCAGTGTTTGCATAATAGCTGTAATTCTTTCGTTTGTACAAAAGGACATGCATTATTTTGGCAGATAGATAGAGCTTTGATGGAGAGATTATTACATTTCCAAAAGCAGGAGAATAAATCAGAACTTAGCCAGAGACGCTGACTAAACTCCCACTCCCAGCACCACTGACCACAAGCCAAGAGTCTTTTCTTCCCAAAGAGCAAACCTCACAGGACAGTGGAGCCTCACCGGCGCCTCTCCACTCTCTGCCCTTGGCCTCGCCCTGGGACCACATCACCTGGGCTCACACTCTGCCACGGGGTAGCCAATGGGATGTGCAGGTGTGAGCATGGAAGAAAGGAACAGAGGAGCTGAGATATGCATTCTCTGGCTTCCTCCCAACCTTGCCTGAGGCAGGAAGTGACCGCTCTTTTCCCAGGTCAAGTTCAGTCTCTTAGACCCCCTTCCATCACTCCAAATCCCAAAGGAAGGAAGTGACTCCCTTCCTTCTTGTTGCTCAGGCCAGACACTGAAGGCACCACTGGCCCGTGCCTAACTGCAGAGCGTGTCAACAGTCCCCATGTTCATGACCTCTGACTGCCTTCTCTTTCCTTCCAGGACACTGGGGGGAACACCATAACCCCAACACTTCATAGAGCTCACTAGGTCTCCCCATCCCCCAACTGTACCTCCCGATTCATAGCACTGATAAAACAATGAGGAAGCCCCAAACCAAGAGACATCTGCCCACCCCACTAAGACCTTAGAAAGCCCACCAGGCAGAAAATGCCTGTCTTGCCTCACTGCAGTTAAGTCGATGCCAGAAACCTGGTGGTCTTCTCAGCCCATCACCAGATCGTCTGCTTCTGGTCACAGTGTCCTGAGTTCCCTTGAGAACCCACCTCTTGACTTCTCTTGGTACAGATGGACTGGGTAAGGGTGCTCCGCCCTCACCTCAGCTCAGAGGAATTACACACACACACACACACACACACACACACACAGAGAGAGAGAGAGAGAGAGAGAGAGAGAGAGAGAGAGAGAGAGAGAGAGAGAGAGAGCTTCTCAGAACACTACTCCTCTCAGGCCTCAGGGATGGGCATGGGACCTAAGCCAGGCTGATGAAAATTAATTGGATAAAATTCTGGGACCTTGGCTAAATAACCCTGGGAACTAAATAATCACTGAAAAAGCAGAGCCCAGAAAAGAAAAGAGGAAAACTGGGATCTGCACACACTGTGGGAACCCTGGATGGAACTGGGCATGGCTTCTGCAATCACACAAGAAAATGAGCCCCAGAGTTTCTGTTTGTTGTTTGTCTTGCTTAAGCTGGGGTTCCATCCCCAAATAAATTCTACCAAGTGTACTGACATGGGCTATCACATATCAGGTAAGGGGAAGCAGGGAAGAAAAGAGGATTCAGGATCGCCAGAGCATCTGTTGTGTGCTCCAGAGCGGCACCCATGCAAATGTAGGTTAAGTTATTTGATTCTCAAAATAACTTTGCACAGCTTCTGTTGAGGAACTTGCCGAGCACTGCAGAATAAGTGAATGGCGGGGTTAAGTCAATCCAAGGACGGTGGCTCTCGGTGCTGCGCAGCTGCTCCACTCAGATGAGCTGGCTGTCTTTGTCATCGCTCCTTCCCAGGGACCCACATGAGCGTCTATGGGACACCCACTGCAGATCTGGACCACAGCAATAGGAGTTTTCCGAACACAGACCAGGAAACAGTCTGTAAGTAGGGAGCGCCATCAAATAGGAGCAGAGAGCATGCTGGGAGAACACATACTCCAGTGGGAGGTTCTGGATGGGTCCAGACTTCCATCCCTGGAGAATAGAACCCAGGGCCTAAGCATCCACGAGAGAACAGAAGACGGCCAAGTCAAACTCCAGTCTGCACATTTACAAACAAATAAGGTTCTGCGACCTTCCCGGGTTCTGTCCTTGGCTCCCTTCTTGATATTCTCCTGACATTCTTCCTTGGCAACTAACAAGGCCAGAAAGCTGATAACTCCCCGTTTCCCACTTAACCACAGAGCTTGGCAAAGTCCCTCTAAATCTTCAGGGCTGACAGGAGAGGACTGGTCAGCCTCCCAGCCTTCCCAGATGGGTTCATCAGTTCTTTGATGGAGTTCACCTTGAAAGCCCGAGAAATAGCAAGCTGCTAACCGTGGCATCCAGTGTTTACAGCGAAGTAAAAGTCTGTGAAGAGGTCCTTAACGCCCCAGCATGTCTAGGTTCCTACAGCCCAACACAGCATTCTGACATTGACCCTTCTCCTGAATGTGGGAAGAATCCAGTCCTAGGAGACACGACCCTTACTCTCCCTTCAGCAGAACTCTCCCTGGCCTCTCCTCCCGTGTTGCTGACTCTCTTGTGGACAAGAGACAAATGGCCACACCTGCACCTTGCCTGTTTTGGCACACTTCTCCCCACACTTGCTAAGCCAGGCAGACACATCAGCCCCACCCCCACGTCAGTGTGCCTGTCACGTCAAATACACAAAACTTGAGTGTGCTATATTTAAAAGCAAGTTAAATAAGGCACCTTTCAAAACTGAATCCCTGGGCTTTGGGGTTTTATGAGTCCAAGGGGCCAAACAGGTTAGCTTAAATCATTTAACTAGGCCACTTGAGTCACGGAGCCCTGGTCTAACAGGACAGTATTTATAGGAATCACGTCACCCCAAAGTTCTCAGGTTGACATCATCCTTCAGTTTGTCAGGACATTTTTGAAACTCAGGAGTGAAGAAGGAAACTGTCTCTTCATTAGTAGAAAGTGCTGGTAAAAAAAAAAATGGGAAAGTAAATAATGTGGAGGTGAGAATATTTCCATGGTGTGAAAGGCAGGAACTTCATATTCTCTCTCAGTCAGATTTTTGATTCATAGCTATGGAAAAATCTGTAGGTGCTATTTTGGCCACCAGGAGCTAAGGCAAATCTGATTAAAATTATTAGTCTGGAAAACCTAACTTGGGTTCGATTCCTTCCTGTGGTCTACTATAACTGTGTATGGCTGAGAGTGGTGTGACTTTCATTGTCTGGACAACACATGACATCTGTGGAAGAGCAAAGCTGCTCTGTTGTGTTGTTTTGTTTTCAAGTGAACTTTCTGTCTGGGTCAGAACCTCATGGTTTGACTGTTTGATTTACCAAAGCTAACGACATCGAAAAGCACGATTTAACCATAATGATTCTTCCTGTGTGTCAGGTGCTGTGTGTAGGCACCTTAGACATGGGGCGTCATTAATCCTGCAGCCATCCTACCAGGTCCTTTTATCACCACCGTGTTAAAGACGAAATGGGTCTTGGAAGGTTGTGTAACTTGCCATAAGTAGTCATCAAAGGGAGCCGGGATGCCAGCCCAGGACTGAGTGGTTCCCAGGGTTCCCCAAGCTTCTTGGCCACTGTGTGGGGCTGCTGGCTGTGTTCTGCTGCAAACAGGATGTGCTCTGGCTGAACCTAGCTCAGCATTAGAGTCCTAGTGTCCTTCAGGCCCCTGGGCTGAGGGACACACCAAGCTCTTTGAGGAACCCAGAAGGACTCACTGAAAATAGCCTCTTACAATTGCTTTAATGATGCAGATGCTGTAATGTCTTTCTGTAATAAATGGCAGCAAAATTATTTTAATAAAAATACTACTTTAAAGCCGGGCGGTGGTGGCGCACGCCTTTAATCCCAGCACTCGGGAGGCAGAGCCAGGCGGATCTCTGTGAGTTCGAGGCCAGCCTGGTCTCCAAAGCGAGTTCCAAGAAAGGCGCAAAGCTACACAGAGAAACCCTGTCTCCAAAAACCAAAAAAAAAAAAAAAATACTACTTTAAGCATGTTGCTAGTGTGAGCTAAAGGTATGAACTATCAGCATGAAAAGTCCAGGTGAAGCACCAGAGAACGCTTTCGTCTGCCCCCTTCACTCCAGACACATGGCACTGGCTGATAAAACATAGAAAAGGAAACAGATCGGCGTCTCCACTGTCGAGAGCTAGAAATGAATTAGAATGGTGAACAGGCCTGAGGCCACCAGACTAACGTGTTCCGGGACACGAGCACCTAGTGGCAGCTTCAGTCTTGGCTCCTGTGTGTACTGAGAACATAGCATGCTTTGGGTGTAATAGTGGATCAGAACCAGGCTTGCTGCTCGAAGCCAGGGCTGGGAATGGGTCTCTCCTGGCTACAGTCAGACCTCTACCAGGATACAGAGCCCCATGAGCAGCCACCTGCTGTCTGACAAGACCAGTGCTAGCCCCAGGATCACCACAGAGCCAACTCTACCTGGTACTATCCTAGAGACAGACCCTCTAGCAAATGCTCCAAAGTTCTAGACAAACAGGGTGAGACCAGAAGGCCAACTGCACACATGTATGTACATGAGCACACATCATACAGTCACACTATATATTCCAAACTATAACCATACACTTCAAGAAACTTCATATTAAAGAGCACAGTCTAGGAAGTCATCAAAATCACTGACTGAAACATGAAAGACTCATTGATAAAATTAATTTTGTAAAACAGGCTACGACAACTTTATCTAAAATGTTCCCAGGTGTACATTAAGGAGTTGCTTCCATTGATTGTGACTAGAAGTAACACAACACAAAGCAGGCATGAGTGAAGCAATACCAGGTGGGCTTTAAGGAGAGAAGGGACAAACAAACATATATTGTGACTAAAAGAAAATTAACTTTCAAAACTGAATCTCAAACAAACAAGGCGAGTCCTAGATGCCTTTCAAAGAGGATGGCAGTCAACTGATAAACAGCTGTGAAGTTCCCCCCCACCCCCCCCAGGCCTGGAGCTGAGTGGTAAGGGGGGTTTAGGAGGGTCATTAACAGATAAGGGAGCTAAACTAAGAAACTCTGACATATATCTGGCTGGTGTTCCAAAAGAAGAGGCTGGAGAGGATGATGGAGAACGGGTATCAGAAGAGAGGAGAGCTGAGAATGAAAACAGATCCGGACAGAAAGATAGGAAAGTTCTAACTAGAGTCCTGGGAGACAGTGCAGCAGGCAAAAGCACTTGCCACCAAGCCCAAGGACTGAGTGTGAGCCCCTGAACCCACATGAAGAGCGAGACAAGGTGGTGCACATCTGTAACCTCAGCACTTCTAAGGCAAGATGGGAGGGGGAGGCCGGAGAATCAGCAGGATACAGGAGCCTACAAGGTAGCTGGACCAGAGTCCACCAGGCAGCTGCAGAAGGCAAAGAGATCTTAGCAATACGGGCAGCAAGAACTGACTCCTGAAAGTTGTCCATTCACCTCCACATGCATGCCACCCCATGTACTCCTGCACACACACACACACACACACACACACACATACACACACACACCCCACAAAGATAGATGATGGATGGATGGATAGATAGATAGATAGATAGATAGATAGATAGATAATAAATATTTAGAAAACACAGAATCTCTAGCCAAATAAAATAAATTTAGTGAAGTGATGTTAATTTCATACAAAAGCTAAGGAGAATCAAAAGACCTGACATAACAATAATATCTACCAGGAAGATATAAAAATATGAACTTCTATCTCCTTTTAAAATATGACTTTAAAATCTATAAAGTAAATACACAAAATTATACAGAAAGCTGGAAAATCTATAAGCAAAGTTTAAGATATTTATAAACATTTCTATCAGAAACTGACAGGTAAAAAGGTTAAAAAAAAATAGTGTGTTTAGAGTAAATCTGAAGAACAAAATTTAAAACTGTGATATAATATAGATTTTTTTAAGTTTTAAATGCAGACCCTTTATAAAATGCATCTTTACATTTAATATAAACATATTCTATATTAAAATGCAGCATAAACATTTATACATGTGTGTTCAAGAACACAGGTAGGTTGGCTAGTAGCTGGAAAGACATAAGACTATTTAATAAACAAGGGCTACCTTTAATAAGAGTAATGCATTCTGATACTATTATCTTATTCCAGTTTTTAAAAATCACTATTTACTCTAAAATAAATTGCTTTTACAGCACAATGATGAATTGT